AGTACTTTTTCCCCAAAAATATTCAATGCGAAACCCGTAGGGATGCCACTGTTTGAAAAAATACAAATTTGTGTACATCAGAAAATGCGCCTTGAGGCATGGAACATATGTACCAAATATGCCAAAGATGTCTACAAAATTATCTCAGTTATTATTAAAAAACTGATTATTTTTGAAAACTTTGCCACCCTGTATCTCAAAAGTTAAGGCGTTTAGGACATACGTCCATAGGAAGTTTTTTTCTTTGGGTCTAAGAATTACCTCCTTAAATATTAGCATGTGTTTAAGGAACACCCTATAAGGCAGTAAATTCTCAGAAATAACTGTGACGTTTTTGCCAGTGAATTTAGTGCCTACTATTGTGGAATTTTAGTATAGATAGTTTATACTTTGTACTCACCATTTTTTTTTATAGATTTGTGCCTTCTTGTATGGGGTGAGCCCTCCTGACAACCCACAAGTGAAGGAACTCCGTTGTCTGGTTCTTCCTCCACAGTGGGGTACCCACCAGACAGTTCACGTTCCAAATATGCCGCCGAAACACCAGTTTCTTGAAGACATGGAACCTCTTGGATGGATACATACCCAGCCGAACGAACTCCCCCAACTGTCTCCCCAAGATATCACAACACACGCGAAGTTGATGTCGGACAATCCTGCCTGGGATGGAGAGAAAACGGTTATTATCACTTGTTCGTTCACTCCAGGATCTTGTTCTCTTACAGCTTACAAGTTAACGCCTTCTGGGTATGAGTGGGGTCGGCAGAATACCGACAAAGGAAATAATCCCAAGGGGTACCTACCTAGCCATTATGAAAAAGTGCAGATGTTGCTGTCAGATAGGTTCCTTGGGTTTTTCATGGCTCCATCACAGGGATCTTGGAATTACAACTTTATGGGTGAGTGCTCATTTTTAGAACATCAATGACAAACTGTAATAATTCGAAATTTTTCTTGTACTGAATTTATTGCAGTTACAATGCAAAAAAAATAGTCAAAACTGCCAGGATCTCGTGATTCAAAAGAGGTTTTTTATTGGAACACTTACCTTTGTTACATCGTTACAATTTTCGTGTGAAACAACCATTTTTTTCAATATCTTGGAATATATAGAGAGGTCCGAATAGCTCTAACTTTACATTTTTTTCATTCCGAAATGCCCTTGGTGTGTGTGTATTCCAAAGTGACATTTCTAATTTTTTTGTGGAACTACTAATGTATTTAGTAGTTCATACACTTTAGTAGTTACACGTTTGCTCCACTCTAGGAAGTAAATTCTTGCTAAAATATGTATACTGCTTGAGTACTTAATTTGTTTCCTGAGATATTGCAGAATCTTTTGACAAAGCATGAATATTATAAAAAGTATGTGAAGATATTCACTTTTCGAATCTTTGATATTGTTACGTTTTCCTCGTAGAAAACTGTACAAATTAAACTCAACTTTATTTCATTGCTACATTGACCATACATCACAAAGAATTTACCTGAAACTTCAGACTAACACTAATACTCACATGTCTATCGCCTCATTAGATCACTTTCTATTACACTTTCAACTAGACTTCCTAATCTGCCTGATGGTTGAGTTTATATATCGTGATGGAAGTCTCTGGAAGCCGATAGGGAAATCTCTCAAAGCCGGTAGAAGAGATGTGACATCTAGTCAGGCTATTGTCGAAGCCTAGAAGGAGCCCCAAGTCTGGTTGAGATGCGTTGACGACACCTTCATGGTATGAAACTGAACACCTTTTTGAAGCACCTCAACTGCGTGAGACCTTTCGTAACATAGACAATGAAAAAGGAAATCCACAATGAATTGATGTGTCTAGACGTGATGGAGAAGAGGCAATATTGAGTAGGAAATATCTGTACACCAAAAACTAACTCACAGAGGACAGTACCTGAATTATGAATTAAGCCACTATCAAACTACTAAGTGAGGAATCGTTAGAACCCTAGTCAATAGAGCATTCGGGCTCTGTAACACCAAGGAAAGTTTTGACAAAGAACTAGGCTACATGCAAAAATCTGATGGAGCATACTTTAGCTGGAAGACAACAAGGCCCAGCAAGTTGAAAAGGCCACCATAATCGCTGCTATCTCACCCTTACGTCCGACGACTAACTATACCATTAAAACCTGCTTCTGACACAGGTAGCAGCCTCACAAATTCCAATCCAACAAAGGAGCTGCGTGCATGTTGAATGAACAACGATGTGTTTAGCTTCAGCCAGGGCAGTGTGGAGATACGAAACGTATGGAAACATTTAATCGAAAAAACGGTTCACGGCGCACTTACCAGAAAATCGATAAGAGAAAGTTGAAAGTGACCAAATGACCTATCAGAGTATCAGAAATAGACTAGTTATCTCCTGTTACTAACAATCAAAAATCGTGAACTAGGTTGGTTTCAGATCTGTTTTCTTTTCTTATTTTCAACATTGTTGATTTTTTCCATCTTTCATCTTCATTGTTTCATTTTTATTACCGTTGGCATATTATTTTAGATTTCACTTTTTATTCAACCCATCTATCAATCAATTTTTCATTTCAGTTCACAATATCTTTTCTTCAGTTTACTTTAATTGGCGTTCTTATATTTTTGAGGTTTGTACTTAGTGATTTCCTTAATTTTTCTATTATTTCCTGTTTCAACTAACTCATCAGAATATTTTAGTTTTGATATTTTTTCTATTTTTTATGTTTCATTAATATCTATTTTAATTTTTCTTTTCATAGATTTCAAATCTCTTAACGCCTTTTTCGACAATGGAATGGATGTTCAATATTCAGTATAGAGCCACAGATTGAATATGTGTGATAGAGCATTTCTCCTTTGAAATATAATAATTTTTAGAATTTAGAACAATGTTTTAACATAGGTCAAGGTCATGTTTATTGTTTTGGGGTTTTTTGAGTTATTTAAATGTGAATTATAGACACGAAAAACTGACGAATACGTGAAATAAAATAGATTTTTTTATTACCATCTAACTTAGTTTCAATATGCTTGGTAGATATCGCATCTGGAAATGGCCTTACCAATATAGCTTACAAGAATATCTCCATATAAAATTTGTTCGTCCCACGATTTGCAGAATCCACACTAGTGGTCCCGACCTATAATACCATTTTGAATTTAGCTACTACCCGTTAGATGGCGGTACTTTGTACTAAGTGATATTTAATTTTTTTATTCACATATTCATGTTTTAATAAAGTACTTGGTAAACCATATTCATAAAATTAACGGAAATTGGAAATTTATCAGGAGTGAGGATGAAATGTCTTATTGAAATACTATTGTATTTTTCCTTTATATTCACGCTTATAGCGGAAGTCGAAGCCATACCTATTTTCTAATTTTGATTGAATTTTATGCTTAGGTATTATCCTTTTCATTGAAGGATACGATTTGAGCTTGTTTCCATATTGAAACCCTCATTCCAAAGGTAAACAATTTTTCAAACCGTTGAGAATACCAATTACAAATGGTTTTGAATAAAATGAATACCTACTTCAAATAGAGAAACCTGCTAGATATTTGGGAAAGATATATAATATTTCTGAAATATCTGACAAATGCGAAGGTGCAAGAATTCTGGTGAATTATNTGTATAAAGATGGGGATGTGTATGTCAAAAAACTTTTCCAAAAACTATTTATAATCTCCTGAAAATATGCTCCTTTCAATCTAAAATAAGTTTGTTTCTGCAACATTCTCCGACCCGGTGGTAACTCCATCTTTGTTAGTACAAATCTTAAATCAATATAGTTTTATAACGTGTCCTGCTTGAGGAAGGCTATTGTATAGCGGAATACGCGTCGCAGTGTTCTAAACCTTTTATAATGAAAATCAAAATGAACCTTGTAGTGGGTTTTGATTTGGATTTTCATCAAGTATCTCATATAACCATTTCAAAATATTTAGAAGTTTTCCATTTTGAACGAAACGAAACATCTTTATTCATTTCAAAAGACTGGATATTATATATACCTATGTCTTCTGCCCAATATTCGACATTAGAAAAAATTGTCATATCTAACAGACGGGTATTATCAATTGAACTTGATTCATCATCACTAGTCTCTTGGTCTTCTTCAATCTTAAGAATCTCCATATATTTCAATAGTTTATCCTCTTTATTTTTCAGACGCATTTTGTGAAGGGTTGGACGCTATTCAATTCTCTTCAGTGTTTAAGTTCTCCATTGGATATTTCTTGGGGAGAGGTATATGTATATTGTGGTCGATTTTGGGCGTTAAAAAAGGTCTTCTTCGATCAGAGATATTTTGTTGTGTGAATTTATCAGTTCATATCTTAGACTACATTGTTCTGGACAGGATTCAGCTGATCTTATGCTTACTATTCTTCTCACGCTTGGCATTCTGTTGTTATTTTATCATACAATAATTAGAACCACAGATCGGGGAAATTGTACTTGTTTGATATTATTGGATTTTAGTCGGGCCTTTGATACAATCAGCCATAAACTATTATTGAGAATTTTATCTTATATAGGTCTCGCCGATAGTGCTGTTTCGTTCTTTGGATCATTCTAAAAAATCGTCAGCAAAACGTCAATATAGATGAAGTTGAATCCCAATATATTTCATTAAACCGTGGTGTTCCTCAAGGGTCTATTTTGGGTCCACTGCTATTTGCCATATATACGTCGAATTTAGTCAAGAGTCTTCAGTACTGCAAAATATACCTATATGCTCAACTTTATTATAGCTTTCCTCCACAAATGACAGATACTGCTTGTTGTCGAATAAATGAAGATCTCGAAGCTTTCACAGGGGCAGTCTCAAACTACTATCTGAGTATTAATAATAGTAAATCTAATGTCATTGTTTTCGGCTCCAAAATCAATCGCAGTACTGTACTTAATGNGCATGTTGATAAAAAAATAAACTATTTTCAAATGAAAAAAAAAATACGTTTAAAATGAGTTTGAATTATATCAAGGAGGTAACGTACAGCGCCATCTGCTCGCGAATAGATCAAGCAATAATGTCGATAATTCTGTCAAATACAGATTCGAGCTTCAGTGTTACAAACAAACATACATACACACATAAATACAAACATACATAAATACATACATACATAAATCCATACATACAGGTGAAGCTAATAAAAGCGTGTTAAAAAATATTTTGTTTCGGAGGCGAATAGTAAAGCTCTCTCGTTACGACATGGTCGTCCGTTTACTTATTAATCGCTATTAGATAATTATATAAAACAGTATCATACCATTTACTAAAATAATTAGACGTTGACTGAAGTCATTGATGAAGTTCAAGCTATCTTAGTGTATCCTCCTCCTTAGGCTCTATTGAAATATGCAGGAATATACAGGGTGTCTCACAGAAAAATAGTCTTCAATCAATAACTATTGATATTTCATTTGAAAACAATTGTTTTTAACACCAATTCTACGTGAAAAAGTGCTTAGGAAATGTTCTCATAGAAACAAGATTTTTTAAACGCTGGTTTCACAAAGTCCTCTAGTACTACCCGCTAAACTATTCGACAAGCTACCAACCGATCTAAAAAATATTAATAGTTATGACATCTTCAAGTTTACGGTAAAAAGTCGCCCTACCCACAATGTATTTTATTCCAATAAGGAATTTTTTGGTTGTAAGGATTATTAAAACGGTTGTTTTGTGTATGATTTTTTGTCATTTATTTTTATCAATATTTTCTTCTGTTCTAGTCCATTAAATATAGCATCCTTCTTTTTGACATTACCCTGAACTTGTACTTTGCAGGTTTTTTGGAAATAAATGTGTTGTTTTATATTGTACTGACAGAAAACAAGTTACAGCAACTGTTCGAAAATGCATATTTTCGAAAAACTTAGAAATGATAATAAATATCGATATG